CTAGTCACTGGATACCCTTGAGAGAATAGCTTCAAGTCTTAGAGCTTCATGTAGCCTGTGGGCCAACATAAGATATTGATCTAGATGATCACTGAGTTTCCCTGCATCTGTACTTCCCTTGTGATTGTTTATTGATCTTTGTGAGCCTTGGTCAGGACTGTAGACTCTAGGTCTTTTTCTTCTTTTTGCTAGGTTTTCTTATTTATGTAGGGGGATGTATGTGAAATACTAACTTGTATGGAAGTAGAGGAATGGCTGAGTGAGCAGAGTTGACCTACTTAATGATAGCTTGTAGGTAGTCTGCCTCACTGTCCTTAGAGCTGGCAAGTCACTGGGTACATGGCTTCATGTATGTGGACACATTTGTTATTTTTACATTCAACTGTGGAAGCTTTCAGTGTTCCAGTTGAAGTTTTCAAAATACTAGAACATAGTTCAAGATGCACAGGTGTTTGATAGACATCATTTCCCCTGTTTTCCTATATCCTGACTGAAAAGACATCGAAAAATAATGAATAAAAATAAAGCCATGGGGCACCTGGGTGGCTCAATCAGTTCAGCCTCTGGCTCTTGATTTTGGCTCAGGTCATGATGTCCCATGAGCCCTGTGTCCGGCTCTGCACTGATCATGCAGAGCCTGCTAGGGATTTTCTCCCTCCCTCTCTCTCTGCCCCTGCCTCACTCATGCTCTCTCTCTCTCTCTCTCTTTCTTAAAATAAATAAATAAATAAACCAACCAACAAACAAAACCATGACAGTATTGAAAACCAAGGAAAGGGAACTGATAGCAGACCAGAACATTTGAGGAAATACTTTAAGATGAAAAATGGATGGGGTCAGATTGAGAAACAATATCAAGAAAAATCTGTTTATTGGAGGTAAGAGCTGTAGTCAACAAGAACATCCCAGGGAAGAGTGAAACTCAGAAGTAAGACCAGGAATGGAGTGTGAAGCATGGGGACATCATCAGGGTACTTTCTGCAAGAACTCATTTCTCAAACGGCTGAGCCTATGGGATTACCCTAAGTTTGTGACATTTACTGAGTATATGGTTAGTACAAGACTAACATACCATAAATACACTATGTAATCTATGTGAGAATAATCTAGAAGTGAGGAAAGGGGCTTGAGATGGAATCAGAGCAGATTTGAGGCAAATTCAGGACAGCTACACCAGACGCTAGGAAAAAAAAAAAGGCAGCTCTGCCTAAAAGTGAAATACTCTAAGGTTCTCTTAAAGTCCTCATTTGGGTGCCTGTGCAGACATCTCAGGGAAGCCGTTCTGGGCCATAGTCACCCACTTATGCTTCTGCAACTTGCCTTTCCATTCAGGGAAGGGGCCTGCTGGGAAAACCAACCTACACAGTTGTTGTGGTCTTTCTGAATAGTCTACCTAGATCTCGACACTGTAAATATGAATAGACAACAGAGGATCACTGTACTTTTAATTAAAATTACTGTTGTCAAATAGGGTCATGATGAATAATTAGAAAAGTCATGACTGAGGTGTAAAAGAAAACACTCCTGTGTTTCTCTTCTTTTATTTTATTTTATTTTATTTTATTTTATTTTATTTTATTTTATTTTAATTTTATTTAATTAATTAATTTTATTAATTTAACTTAATTTTAATTTAATTTAATTTATTTAATTTAATTTTATTAATTTTATTTAATTTTGTTTTGTTTTGTTTTGTTTTGTTTTGTTTTGTTTGTAGTCTCTATGCCAAACGTAGGGCTTAACCTCATGACCCAGAAATTAAGAGTACACACTCTACTGAGCTACCAGACAGCCATTTTCTATTCTCAACTATTACACTCACCCTCAGAACTCTCACAACATCTGTGACACCAGTTATGTGGGTTTTTCACACAGCAAGCAATTCTGTGACACTAAATGAGTGTCTTACAATTTATTTTGACACTGTCTACCTGGAGATGGCATTAGATCCCACAGGATAAGGGGTCACTCCCATAAGACTGCCACCCTCCTCCTGAGCCCCTCCTTGGGTTTGATCAATTTGCACAGAACTTCAGAAAAACAATTTACTTACTAGATTACAGGTTTATTACAAAAGATGTTCAAGGACACTAACAACCAGATGTTGAGATACATAGAGCAAGGTCTGTCAGGTTCTGAAGACAGAAGCTTTTGTCCCTGTGGAGTTTAGTCATCCTTCTAGAATGTGCATTTATTCTTGTTCACTATTACCTCTTTGAGTTCTGTCCTTTTGGGTTTTTATGGAGGCTTCATTACATAGGCATGATTGATGAACTCATTGGCCATTGGTGATTGATTCAACCTCTATCTCTTCTCCCCTCCCCAGAGGTGTTGTAAGGGGGTTTGAGGGGATGTGGGGTTGCAAGTTCCAACCATCTGATCTTGTTCTTCTGGCAACCAGACCCCATCCAGAGGGGTTTTCCAAAAGTCATCTCATTAACATAATCTTAGGTGTGGTTGAAAGCAGCTTGTTATGAGTGATAAGTGACACTTTTATCACTCTTAATCACTTAGGAAATTCCAATGATTTTAGGAGCTTTGTGCTGGGAACGGGGCTGGAGACTAAATATATTTTATATTACTGTTTAAAAAAAGAGAGAGAGAATAAATCCAAAATGGAATCACTTGTGCTAAGCCCATGTCACCAAATTGAGACTTAATACCTAAGATAATTGCAGACCATTTCAACTGAACTCAAGAAAAACATAAGTTTGCTGGTTAAAAGTGACATTGAATTCTGAGCAGGATAAATGAAAATACATTCATACATACATACATACATACATACATATTCTACCATTGACTCTAAGCTGTAAAATTTGAGAACACAGAAGGTACAGAAAACATTCTGAATGCTTCCAGAGAGGAAGGGAAAAAAAGAAAACCAACCAACCAAAAATCAGAACAACTCCAGTTTCCCTGAAAATGTGTGAGAATCAACGAAACACTGAGGATGTACATTCATTACAGAAATAAATGTTAAAAACCTTGACAGTGTGGGGCACCTGGGTGGCTCAGTCGGTTCAGTGTCGGACTCTGGATATCAGCTCTGGTTGTGATCCCAGGGTAATGAGGGGGAGCCCTGTGTTGGGCTCCAAGCAGAGCGTGAAGCCTGCTTGGGATTCTCTTGCTTTCTCTCTCTCTCTCTCTCTCTCTCTTTCTCCCTGCCCCTCCCCCGTTCATGTGCACGCTCTCTCACCCTCTCTAAAATAAAATTAAAAAAAAAAAAGAGAAAAAAGAACACCACTAAAAAATATGTTGAAAATGCAAAACTAAGTCTATAAAGGGAGCATACATGGAATGTAGTATCAGTCAGTATGAAATTCCTCATCTTTCGATCTAATATTGATCAGTTTAGAAATAGAATTCTGCATCTGTTCAGTGAAGAGGAAAGTGATTATCTCTGAGATGTGAAACCTGTGGGGTGGGAGGAAGGGGCACTTTTATTTACTTTTAGAGTTCTGTAAGATTTGATTTTTCTTAAAACCATCTGCAGATATTAGTGATTAAGAGTCATAGGCACACAGTCTCATTACACAGGGGCTCAGCCATTCTGCTCACAGAGTCCTGTTTTGTGACATTCCCCCATCCACCATTAGACTCTCTCCCAGACCTGCATGGTGAGTTTGGCTGCCACATCCTCCGGGACAAAGAGCTCTGAGTGCCATGAAGGCAGCCGGAAGAGCAGTGAGGAGGGGAAGGAGGGGGTCTAACTTGGTTTTGCTACAGCTTATCAGTGTAATTTGACTAGTGTCTTGGCCCTGCCCGTTTCAGTTTTTTTTTTTTTTTTCATTTGTAAAATGGGGAAATTGCATTAAATTAGTGAATTTCAGACTGTGTTTGCAGAGCTCTGGAATTGATGATGAAGTACTTGGCGGGGGCAACTCCTAAGAATGAAGGGGCTTGGGGAAGGTTCAGATTCCTCACTCCCAATTTCACCAAAGCAGTTGTGCTTTGAGCTTCTTTAAGCCATGATTTCCATATATAAGATGCCATTTAAGTGAAGGACACCTGTTAAAATGATATGAACTCCACAGGACTAGATATTCCCCAGGGCTTTTTTGAGCACTAAGATCCTATGATTCTGGAAAAGATAGTCATGCACAAAAAGAGCTATTGAATATTAATGAACCAATTTTTTTTTATTTTCTTTGCGAACAAATTCTACCAACAAAGAATAAATTGGCACAAATATACAATTTTAGACTTAGGAAGAGAACGTAGGGTGAAATACAATGTCAGATTTTGAGCCCAAGTCATTTTGTAAGAACCACTTTTCCTATCTGCAAAGTTTTTGTTTATCAGGCTTCCTGATATGCATACTACTGTACTCACTGGCAAATTTATGTTTTTTTCCCCACATTCGAGGAAAAGATATGTAATAGTTTAATTAAATCTCCCCCTACTTACTCTATCACGGCGCTTCTTAACCATACATTTTCCCTTTTCCTACTGTCTGTAAGATGATAGAAATGACAGAAAGGAGAGATACTGCTTGGGCTGTGCAAATGTGTGGCTATAAATTAATCTTAAATTAATCTGGAAAACATTAAATTAAACTAATATTTAATGAAGTTTAACTTTTGGGAAGTAAATTGTGATTTGTGCTAGTATTTCAATGCAGGTGGCTGTCCTGGCGTAGGGCCTGAGCAATTAGATGCCACACTTGCAGCTCAGTAGCAGAATGCTGTAGGTTAGGATTTCTGCTGGGTAGTTCTCATTTTTGAAGCCACAGAAGAAGCCTTTTTATTTTTCCTGTGACACTTACTAATGTTTGCCCTGCTTTCTTGCAAATTGCTTCTCTACCTAAACTTCATTCTTTCAGTCGTTGATTGATCAAGTATTTGCTCAGTGCCTACCCTGTGCTACCTGCTGGGAATACTGTGATGAACACCATGGGCAAAGAACTGCCCTGCAGAGTCTCCAGCCCAATGGAGAGTCAGGCTGGTAAATACTCCCTTGTATTGGGTTCCAGGAAGGCACAAAGATGGGGCTCCTACCTGGGTCTCGGAGGTCAAGTCCAAACCATGAGATGCCCATCTGCCTGCCTTGGAGGGGTCCACAGATGTACAGCACACTAGTCTGCCATAATTACTTGGTATTTATATTGGTCAAGATCAAAAGGGAGATGTATATTATCTAGTTCTCACTTCAGAAAGAGGGTAGTTGTTATGGTCATGCTGCCAAAGCAGGAGGGACCCTCCCCCCCGCCCCCCCCCCCCCCCCGAAATCTGTTTGGGATGTTGGACTGATGACACCACATACAATCCATGAGAGTCTGAAATGATTTGTTACTTACATGACTGAGGTGTAGTGGAGAGCAGGGGCCTCCTCTCAAGCAGACTGAAATGGCTGGTGAGTGAGGGCAGGGGCCTGGCTTGAGTTTTTATTGTTAGGGGTTGAGCCTGGGTGAAGGTTCCTGAGTGCTTGTGGTGGTCTGCATCTCCCACAGGCACCAAAGAAGGGGCTTTGTTATCAGCTTGTTCAAATATGGGCACAAGGGACAGAGGGAGATGGGAGAGGCTTAAAAGCTGTCCGCCAACAAAGATCAACACTGGAGTTTGATTTCTCAGTACAGTGGCCAGTCCACTTCCTCACCTGAAACAAAGCTTTTCTTTCCCTTGAATTCTGAAGTAAATCGCTAATGGGAGAATACTGTGGCCCCCACTTAGGAGCCTCAGGGGATACAGTCCAAGACCCTCCCAGTGGATGCCTGAAACTGTAGAAAGTACATATTGTTCTATGTTTTTTTTCCCATGCATTCATACTTTTAATTTTTAAGTTAGGCAGAGTAAGAGATCAATAGCAATAACTAATAATAAAACAGAACAATTATAACAATATGAGATAATAAAAGTTATTTGAATGTGGTCTCTCTCTTAAAATATTATATGGTGCTGTACTCAACCTTCTTCCTGTGATGATGTGAGATGATAAAATGCCTGCATGATGAGATGAAGTGAGGTAAATGATCTAGGTAGGCACTGTGACATCGTGTGAGGCTGTTGTGACTTTCTGTTATGTCAGGAAGACCATCTGCTTCCAGACTGCGGTTAACCGCGAGAGACTAAAACCTCAGAAAGCAAAACCATGGATAAGGAGGGACTACTGTATAGGCAGAGAAGCGACACATGACAACAGACAATGTTCTTCACCTCAGCATGATTTTCATAACAGATGCACGGATGGATTTCCCTTCTTGTAAAACTGCAGCTCAGGGAAAGCAAGTCTATGAGCGACTTAAATATAATTCACAGAGGTTGAAGGATAAAGTTAAGAGGAGGTAAGCTGCTGTGTAACCTTGAGATGATTTTTTGTTTGCCTGTTTATGTAACTTTTAACAGCAGGATTTTTAATAGGAGCTGGGTAGCAGATAACTTAAAAGTGACTCACTGACAATGCCTGGAGTATTTTGTGTTGTTGACTGAGGGTAAATTCTTACATTATTAATCACAAAGCATTAGTGATGTTTATAATAACATGCTGTGAAGATTGACTAGAACTACTCAGTCTTATTTAAAACAAATTATTGCAAATTAACTCTTTCTTTTTCTTTCTCTCTTTCTTTCTTTCTTTCTCTCTCTCTCTCTCTTGTAATTGTAGTAGGTAAAGATGTGAGGTATAGAAATTCTAGGTGGCAACAAATTTGTAGATATGGGATAGTTGCAGTTGACCCTTAAAACAATTTTTCCACCTCCCAGTATATAATGATGAAAATCCAGATTTGGACTGTTTTACTCCAAATATTCCTTAAAAACCTAATTCTGGTCAAATTTCTTTGGTCTTTTATCAATGCTCTGGACATGAACCTTCTTTGGAAACAAACCTACTGCAGTCCAGGTCCAGCTGGCACACAGCATGCTCTCTGTTCAGGAGAAAATGATGTGTAAATCAGGGAAGAATAAAGAATGGAAATATTTGGGGGAAAACATTGGACGTCTTTGAAAAGGTGGGCATATTCTCTTCCAAATTGTTCAATTAACCCTGAAAAATCAGAGAGATATTTGCATTTTGGAAAATGGAAACAAAACCACAAATTTGCAAGCAACTGATCCCATTGCCAAGGATTCCATTACTCCTAACTTTTGATTAGTGACATGGCATTTAAAGGGGCTTGTTTGGAAGCCTTATTGCTCTCCTTGTATCTTAGTCCATTTGGCTCTAACAAATTACCACAGGTTAGCTTTCTACTGTTTCAGTAGAAATTTAATGCTTACAGTTCTGGAGGCTGGAGAGTCCAAGATCAAGATTCTGGTCAATTCAGGTTCATAGACAGCATCTTCTGGCAGTGTTCTCGAACTCATGAACCAAACCATGAGATCATGCCCAGAGCCAAAATCAAGGGTCGGATGCTTAACCGATTGAGCCACCCACGCACCCCCATACTTTCTTCTTTTGAGATGAATAGGATGCTATACTTATGCATCTAAATAAGCCAGACATAAAATGTATGTCTTTTTTGTGAACTTCACTGCCTTTAGAATGTTGAGATTCAGGAGAGCACAGGCCTAAAAAGATGGAAAATAATCCTCCCAATTTCAGTTTAATGATACGCAGACTTTTTGAGCAGTTACCACATGCTAGACACTGTGCTAAATGTTATAAAATATGCAGAGAAGAACAAGGGCCCTCAAGAGGTTGACAAGCCAGTTAATGCGAGTGTGTGATTAGGTTAATGGCACAGGCTGAAACACCAAATTACAGGAGTACAAAGGAATGCCAAATAAGGGCATCTAGGCTGGTTTAAATAGAAGTGGACAAGAGTGGTGGATATGTAAAGAGTATTAGTAATAGTGGTCGAAGGCAATGTGGGAAAGTAGACAAGCCATCTAAGACCATTTAAAATTCATCAGACTCTCCCAAGGCCAGAAGAGGGACATTGGAAGAATTTTAAGGTCAAGGAGAAAGGCATATGACCTAAAGCCACCAGACAATATATTAAATTTGGAGTTTATGAAAGGCTTTGATTAGGATCTGTAATAATTACAGCTGATAAATAAAACTATGATCAACTTTGCCATCCATTCATAATTGTATAATAATGAGGTGGATGATTTTATAGCATTAATACTAATGTACCAACTATACTTGGGATGAGCTGACCTCAACCACGTGGGTATGGGAGAAAGAAAGGCAAGAAGTGAAACGGAGCGGAAAAGCCTTCCTGTATGCTATGTGCCCAGAGAGATATCTGGAAAGTTCTAAGGCAAGACTAAGCACTATTTGCCTATTCATTATGTGCCCACATACAGATGAATCTTTCTTGAAAACTATCACCTGAAATTAATGCTTCTCTAAATACTGTCAGAATAGGTAAATTGTAAGGATCCATCAAATCTGTCCTTCAGCTCTCCACAGATCCACTGTTCTGGGCCAGCAAAGAGAAGCCGAAGGCTCAGTTAATGAGCCAATTATACAGCTATTTTGAGCTTCTCGTAGTAAAGCACATACAAAGTATTCAGGGATATATCTGGGTCTATTGTGGGTTGACTGTGTCCTTCAAAACGATACTTTGAAATTCTAACCGTGGTACCTGGAAATGTGATCTTATTTGGAAATAGGGTCTTTCAGCTGAAATGCTGCAGTTAAGATGCAGTTAAGATGAGGTCATACTGGATTAGAATGGGCCCTAAATTCAATGACTGGTGTTCTTATAAGGGCAAAGAGAGTTGGAGACCTCTAGAGACACACAGGAAAGCAGGCCATGTGATTTCAGAGGCAGGGATTAGAATCAGGCATTTATAAGCCAGGGAAAGCCAAGAATTAATTGTCATTACCAGAAGCAGGAAGAGGCAAGAAAGATTCTTCTTACCAGAAGCAGCACGGCCCTGCTAGTACCTTGATTTTGTACGTCTAGCTCCCAAAACTGTGAAAGAATAAATTTCTGTTGGTTTTAGCTACTCAGTTTGTGGTAATTTGTTATGGCAGCCCTAGATGGTGAATACGGACGACTCACAGAGTCTAGCATAGAAGCCAATTGACTCCCACATCCTTGATGCTACATCTTTTTCTACCCATGACCCCTTGGGCAGAACTCTATCACCTGCCAGTTTCTATAAGAAATCCCATCACACTTAGCGCTTCATAATTTTTTGGTATGCTTTGATGAGCTTTTGAGAGGTCATTAGAAAGGGGTCGGTCACATTATGTGCCATAACCACATTCTACCGTGTTGACCTTCTCCCTCTTTTTTCTTCTTCTCACTTTCCTACCCTTTTCATTTCAGGAAAAAAAAATACAGAGGTGCCTGGGTGGCACAATCAGTTAAGCATCCAACTTCGGCTCAGTTCATGATCTCACAGTTCGTGGGTTTGAACCTGCATCGGGCTCTGTGCTGACAGCTCAGAGCCTGGAACCTGCTTCAGATTCTGTGTCTCCCTGCCTCTCTGTCCCTCCCCTGTTCCTTCTCTCTCTCTCTGTCTCTGTCTCTGTCTCTCTCTCTCTCAAGAAAAAGGAAAAATACATAAATTCTTTTTATTTTACACATAGCAGTTAATGGAATGTCTTTGGTATGTGAGTCTGTTCTTGCTTATCAAAGAATTTCTTTCTAATAAATACAGGCTCATCTCATGAGGAATTCTGGTGAATAACACTTTTCCATACCATTATAACTGCACCCCTTCCTCATTTAAGGTGGAATAAAATGGGCTCAAAGGGGTGAGGTGACTTGCTTGCTGGCCATGGTTCACTCATATGGTGGAGTTCCTCTGTCTTTGCTGACAACCCATTGGAGCAACCCATTCTTCTTCCATGTTCTTTCAACTTGAAGAGCTTCTAAGGCCAACTCAAGCCTCATCTTCTTTACTGGCCCTTTCTTGAGATATCTCCAGCCAGGTTTTACCTCCCTAGATTTACAGGGATCTCACTGTAGCCTTTGACCACACACTGTTACGTGTCTGAATAGCTTCATGTATTGCAATGGTATTTCCCAGTCTGGATTGTAGGTAATGTGTGTAGGGAACATGGCTTTTAAGTTGAAAAGGATCTAGCAGGGGATGAGGAAACTGAGTCTACAACTGATTGCTGTGTGACTATAGGGGAATCTTTTATCCTCTCTGTTTCTTGGATTCCTCATGTATTCGCAGGTACTTTAATCATTAGAAAGTATTATTTTGCTATGCCTCACCTAGTCCATTACTTGATGGACATGGTTGAGTTGACCTGATTAAATCTAATTAATTTTTAAACATGAGCAGTGCTCTGCAACATTGAAGTGTAGTTTCTACACATGTGCGCATGCATGGGATTTTTAAAAAGTCATGGTTTATATGCTGAAGTCTTTTTTTTTCCTACATTTATTTATTTTTGAGAAACAGAGAGAGACAGAGCACAAGTGGGGAGGGGTAGAGAGAGAGGGAGACACAGAATCTGAAGCAGGCTCCAGGCTCCGATCTGTCAACACAGAGCCCAGTGTGGGACTCGAACCCACGAACTGCAAGATGATGACCTGAGCCGAAGTCAAATGCTTAGCCGACTGAGCCACCCAGAAGCCCTGAATACTGAAGTCTTAAGTCCTGGTTGTCTTCTTTATCTTTGTCTTTACATTGTGAACATGCTGAAGGATCAAAACCCTTTATGGAAGAAATTTTTTGATAGAAAAAGTGGCTAAAGTGAAAGCTCAGAAATGGATGACAGGGAAATAAAGCTCTATCATGATCTCAGAACATGGGTACAAAGAAGAGAGACTGCAGGAGAGGAAAAAGGGGCTGTCCTGACAACAGACTCCTGGCGTGTACTCGACTGGATCCTGTGCTCTTAAACCAGAGCCAACCTGTCGTCATTCTCATCAAGAACATTGCGCAAAAACTGCGCTTACAATACAGAGTGGTCATTCAAGGCACACAGTAAGGGGTGACTCATCTGTACAGATTCAAGAACAATTATAAAACTGACCAAAAGCTGGTATTTTTATTGTCACCATTTGCCAGCAATTCTAAATGTCGGTGACAAAATACTCTCTGAAAAAAAACTTATGATCTGAGTTCTAACAATTGTTGAGATTACTATTGAATTTAAATAATAATTAAATTAGTATATTGCTATTACTTATCCTTTAATAAGCAGTATTCTACACGAAACTTAATTTAAAGAATTCTGGGGCGCCTGGGTGGCTCAGTCCGTTAAGCATCTGACTTCGGCTCAGGCAGGTCATGATCTCGGGGTTTATGAGTTCGAGCCCCGCATCGGGCTCTGTGCTGACAGCTTGGAGCCTGAAGCCTGCTTCAGATTCTGTGTCTCCTCCTCTCTCTGCCCCTCCCATGCTCATGCTCTGTCTCTGTCTTT